TTTTGCCCTTACTTTGGTTTCAACTACTATGTTTAGTATTCGGCTGATGTTATTAATTACATTAAGCTTTTATTTGTTCTGTTTTTGTCCTTGCTTGTGAGTTAAAGTTCAACAAATTGGTATTAGAGTTAGGTTCATCGATTTGAAGCCTAGTTGGCTTGATTCTTTATCTTCTGAAATGACTGCTAAGTTTGAAGTTGAGAGGTTTGATGGGAAGGAAGATTTTTAATTATGGAAGAAGAAAATGAGAGCCCTCCTTGTTCAACAAAAGGCCTCCAAACCCTAGATGACTCACCTGTTTGGTCTGAAACTTTAAAAGAAGAAGAAATAGTAGAAATTAAAGAAATAGCGTTTAGCACCATCATTTTGTATCTAGCCGATAATGTTTTGAGACAAGTTCATGATGCTAAAACTGCCAAAGAAGTTTGTACGAAGCTAGACTCAATTTATCTCACAAAATCCTTAACCAACACACTTTATATTAAGGAGAAGTTTTTTTGGTTTTAAAATGGATGTTAGCAAAGACCTTGAACAAAATCTAGATGATTTCAACATAGTAGTTCTTGATCTTGCCAATATAGATGAAAAAATGTCTGATGAGAATAAGGCTATCATTTTGCTAAATTCACTCCCTGATACTTATAATGAAGTGAAATCAGCCATAAAATATGGGAGGGATAGCTTAACTCTTGACATTGTTTTAAGTGCCTTAAGATCTAGAGATCTAGAGATGAAGAAAAACAAAGGGAAGGATAGTGAAGCTTTGTTGGCAAGAGGAAGGGCAGAAAAGAAACCAAATAGAAACAACAATAGAAGTAGATCAAAATCTCAAGGTAAGGTAAAGAGATGTTTCTATTGTCACAAAGAGGGTCATATAAGGAGAAATTGTTATGAACTCAAGAACAAAAGGAAGAATGAGAATAAAAGAGAGGAAGAACATAACAATGCAAATTTGACTGAAAATTTTGATACTGATGAAGTTTTAACTGTGGCAGGTGGGAATTTTAATTCAGAATGGATTCTGGATTCCGGATGCTCCTTTCATATGACCCCTAATAAACATTGGTTTAAAAATTTTGAAGAGATTGAGGGTGGAAAAGTGCTACTATGAAATCACCAATAATGTAGCATTAAAGGGGAAGGAAATGTTTTAGTGAGAATGTTTGATAACCAAGTAAGGGAGCTCACTTCAGTCCATTATGTACCAGATTTAAAATGGAATCTGATATCCCTTGGTGTATTTGATAAATCGGGTTATATGTGCAAATTGGAAAAAGGTTCACTGAAAATTATTAAAGGGGCAATGGTAAAAGCTTAGGGAATTCTTCACAATGGCCTATATGTTCTTGAAGGTAACACCGTTGTTGGTATTTCTGCTATAGCTTCTTCTAAGGACCAGCAACAAACTAAATTATGGCATATGAGGCTTGGTCACATGAGTGAAATGGGCTTGAAAGAATTATCAAATCAAGGACTTTTAGGAAAATCTTCCATAGGTTCACTTGATATTTGTGAACATTGCATATATGGAAAACAAACAAGATTTTCCTTTGGAAAAGACAAACATTGTTCAAAAAATATTTTAGAATATGTCCATGCGGATCTTTGGGGGCCAGAAAAAATACATACTATGGGAGGAGCAAGATATTTTCTTTCCATAGTTGATGTTTTTCCAGTAAGGTATGGACATACCTTTTAAAATCTAAAGATGAAACTTTTGGGAGGTTTGTTGAGTGGAAGACCCTTGTTGAAAAACAAACAGAGAGAAAAGTGAAGCATCTTAGAACGGACAATAGGTTGGAATTTTTGAGCAATGAGTTTAAATCATTTTGCAGTAGAGAAGGGATTAATAGACACCTAACAGTGAAAGGAACTCCACAGTAAAATTGATTAGCCGAGAGGATGAATCAAACTTTGCTTGAAAAAGTAAGATGTTTGTTGTCTAATGCTTGTTTACCAAAGCATTTTTGGGGTGAAGCACTTATGACAGCTACATACTTAGTAAACAGAAGTCCATCTTCAGCAATAGAGTTCAAAACTCTCTTTGAAAAGTGGTCCAAACATCCACCAGATTTGAGTAACTTGAAAATCTTTGGGTGCATTGCTTATGCACATGTAAAAGATGGCAAGTTGGATAATAGGGCCAAAAAATATTTGTTCTTAGGCTATCCTCAAGGAATTAAAGGTTATAGACTTTGGTGTATTGAAAAAGGTGAAGAAAAATGTATCATAAGTAGGGATGTAACCTTTGATGAATCCAAAATAGCCTTACAAGAGATACCAATTGAAAACAGTCAAGATAATGCAAGTAGAGAAAATCTTGAAATTGAATTGGAACTACCAACTCTAACAACAGACATTGTTGTTCCACACAATTCTAGTGAACTTGATATGGGTGCACAGCCTACTGAAGTACCTACTGTTATTCCAATTTAACCTCAGTCCGTTCAAGACTATAACCTTACTCCTGATATGCAGAGAAGGCAAATACGACCTCCCATTAGATATGCCAATGTAAGTATGGTTCACTATGCCCTTGCAGCTGAAATTGATCAAGTTGGAGATGAACCTTTAACATACCAAGAAACTGTGAACTCTAGAGAGAGAAAAATGGAAATCTGCTATGCAAGAAGAGATGAACTCGCTTCATAAAAATGGTACGTGGGAATTAGTTGAAAAGCTGCCTAACCAAAAGCTAGTTGTATGTAATGGATATTTAAGTTAAAACACGATGTTGATCCATTACAACCAATTCGGTATAAAGCTAGATTGGTTGCAAAGGGTTTTACTAAAAAAGGAGTAGATTATGGAGAGATATTTTCACCGGTTGTTAGGCATTCCTCCATTCGAGTTCTATTGTCAATAGTTGCTGCCTATAATTTAGAATTGGAGCAAATAGATGTTAAGACAGCATTCCTTCATGGAGACCTATCAGAAGTCATCTACATGCAACAACCGACTGGATTTGTCAAGGAAGGTACAAAAAATCAAGTGTGTTTGCTTAAAAAGTCTTTGTATGGTTGAAACAAGCTCCTAGGCAAATGGTACTTAAAGTTTGATTCATTTATGTTATCTTGTGGCTTTAATAGGAGCATGTTAGATCATTATGTATACTTCAAACATGCCAAAGATAAGCCTTCCATATATCTTCTCCTGTATGTAGATGACATGCTTCTTGTTTACAGTGATAAACTTGAATTAGCTAAACTTAAAGATAATTTGAAGGGAGAATTTGAAATGAAAGAATTAGGTGAAGCCAAAAGAATATTGGGGATAGACATAAAAAGGGATAAGAAAAATGGGACTATATTCCTTTCTCAACACCTATACTCTTTGAAAATGCTTGATAAATTCAAGATGCTGAATTGTAAATCAGTAAGTACTCCCTTAGCAAATCACTTTCAGTTATGTGCAAGTCAATCACCTCAAACACCAGAGGGAGAAAAAAAGGTGAGTTCTATTTCTTATGCAAATGTCGTAGGAAGTCTTATGTATCTTATGGTATGTACAAGACCGGATCTAGCTCATGCTCTTAGTGTTGTCAGTCGATATATGTCCAATCCGGGGAAAGAACATTGGGCTGTCGTAAAATGGATAATAAGGTATGTGAAGGGAACAGTCATGAAAAGTCTTTTATACACAAATCAGATATTAATACAGGGGAAATTAGTGGGATTTGTGGATGCATATTATGCTTCAGACAGAGACAGAAGAAGATCTTTAACTGGGCTAGTGTTCACATATTTGGGAAATACAATCAGCTGGAAATCTTCATTGCAATCAGTTGTATCACCGTCAACAATAGAGTCAGAATATATGGCTGTGACAGATGCTTTTAAAGAGGCTTTGTGGCTTTATGAACTAATTGAAGAGCTTGGAGAAATTTTAGAGAATCAAGCTGTGATTTTTTGTGATAGTCAAAGCGCTATTTTCCTTTCAAAAAATCAGACGTATCATGGAAGGACTAAGCACATAGATGTCCGATTTCATTTTATTAGGGTCATTGTATAAGAAGGGAAGATAAGGCTAGGGAAGATAAGGCTAGAGAAGATTAACACTCTTGATAATGCAGCTGATGCCTTAACCAAGACCCTTGATGTTAAGAAACTTGAGAGTTGCCTTAAAACTCTCAAAGTTCTTTGTTGCTTCAGAGCACCGCTTATTAAGGCTTGATTTCCACTTTTACTACTTTTGTTTAAATTACCTCGATTAACTGTCAAGGTGAAGCTAATTTTTCTACATTGAGTTTTGACCAGTTAACTGTCACCTCATTGTCTTGGTGGAGCCCACTCAGTTTAGAAAATGTTTCCAGATCAACTCCTAATTTTTTGGGGGTTGGCGTTTTGAAGCGGGTCTTTTTTCTCGGGTCATTACCCAACCTTCTGCCCTATTTCTTCTGTCGTGGGTGCTGCCGAAAAAGTAGAGAGTGATTTGGGTGAGCGTTTTTCTGTACTAGAGTGAGGGGCTGTCTTCGTCTCTGGGTTTGTTAATTTCTTGTTCAAGAAGGAAGCTGGGTGGTGAGGTTATTGAAGAAGAAGAGCAGCTGTAATGTCTCCGATTTTGAGATGGGGTTTTTGAGGCACCGGTTTCTTTGAGTGTTGCTTCATTTTCTCTTGATGCTGTTGTATTTCTCACTTACAGTAAGAGTGGATGGCCTGAAAAAGTGGATGTAGATCATACTTGGATCCAACTACTATAAATCTGTTTGTCCATCTCTTTCCCTATCTCTCTGTTTTAATTTTTGCCCTTACTTTGGTTTCAACTACTATGTTTAGTCCTCGGCTGCTGTTATTAATTACATTCAGCTTTTATTTGTTCTGTTTTGTCCTTGCTTGTGAGTTAAAGTTCAACAAAACAAAAAACCAAAAACATAAAAACCAAAAATAAAAAACAGGAAGCCCTAAATATTTGCTTTGATGATCATAATATAGTTGATATAAAAAGTAATACAAACATGAAATTCTAGATGATATTATTTCGAACATCTTGAATTCCCACGAAACAGTTGAGGACTTTTGAACAAATCGTGACCCGACAAAGAAATGTAGAGTAAATGTCGTATTCGACCTTATTAAGTAGATGGTAATTTTAGAGGTGAACAAGGCGATTGATATCAAAAGGATGAGTATCGTTGGGAAATTTGGCATTGTAGGCTCTACTTGCTAATGACATGAATCCAATCTCAGTTGGATGAACTGCGTCCCAAAATAGGTATTGCTTCCTATTTCCACACACTTTTCCAAGAGGAACACATTGAATCTTCCCGGCTGGAACCTCACAACAAGGACTATCTACAACCATTTCACCTGCAAAAATTCATTCAACCACACACACACACACACATATATATATAAGTGTTGTGAAAATCATGTCAAAAAGGTTCGACTGAGACTCGAGATCAGCAAGGTTTTAAATGTTGATTTTAATCAAAATGTGTTGAGGTCTCAATTTTTATAACAATATTAATAAAATGTCGATGTCGGTCGATGTCTCTAGAAAATTATGTACATATGACAAATATTTAAAATAACAAATAAGTATTATACCCAATTTTTATCAATATTAATATTATGTCTATATTAATTATATTTTTGTCAAATTTTTACGACACTATATATGAAAATGTTGATTCACCTCTTATGTCGGTGTCCACTCCCTATTGACATGTGAAAATGTGGTTGAAAATGTAATACTATATATATATATAAGGAAACTTGTTAGGTAAGATGCCTTTAAAATAGTTTTCATATTGAAAACACTACAGAACAAACCAAAAGTTTCATGTATTTTGCACCACTATCGGCACAAAATCAATTACAAGAAAGCAACTAAAAAAATCATCAAAAAATATTTTTTTCTTAATTTTTTAAAAAATAAAACACTATTTTTCAAAGCACTCACAAACAATGTAAAAAACAATTTTTTTTTTTTTTTTGAGAAACACACCAAACATCTGATCTTTTATTCACTTTAATCTTTACTATTCTTTATTATTATTTTAATTGGTACTAAAATAGACCTTTTGAATTTAAAATGAACAAGTATAAGAACTAAAATGAACGTTTTTAAAGAAAAACTTTAAAAATACTTGAAAGAAAGTAAAGATATGTTACCTTGATTTGAAGTTGGAGTACCATGAGTACCAATGTTGAAGACATCAACAAAAATAAATTTGGCATTAGTCAACTTGGTATTAAGATCATCAACCATAGACTTGAGGCCAATATTGAAAAGTTGAATGGCATTGTTGATTTCTTCTACACATGGAGATCCTTTGGTGTCGAAGTTAGCCCTCGCATACGGAGTACATCCGATTGGTCCCGCTCCGAAAATGGCCAACTTCCGAGCCCCTTGTCCATATAGAGCCTACAATGTAACCTCGAACAATATTACTTATTAATTTGTCAATGATATGATATATATGTCTTAACTAATTGAACACGGGAGAACAAAATATTTTAGACCTTATTTGATATCTAGCTTTAGTGTTTTTTAATTGGATGATTTTCTAAATTTGAACTTGTTTATACTAAAGTTTTCTTTGCTTTCTAAACTTTTGTTTTTTTAGAAAAAGAAAATATTTTAAAAATCATATACAAATAAATAAATACATATATATATATCAACTTCGACTAAATTTAATTTATTTGTTTTTCAAAGTTGACTAACATGTCAAAAATATATATATTTTTAAAATGAAAAACTAAGCAACATTTTCATTTCTTTGTTTCTTATTTCTTATTTAATTTTAAGTTTTTGAGAAACATAAGCATTCAATTTATGTTTCATTTTCAAACCACACTTTTAAAATTGTTTAGAAATTTTGAAAACAACAAGTTTAGTTTTCTTTTCTAGTTTTTTTTTTAAAATTTAAATAAAAACATATTTTATCATTCTTGACTTATAAAATGCATAATACATATTTTAAAAATAAATAAAACGTAAAAATTTTGAATACTTAATTAAGAAAAAATCAATTTTCATATAAAACTTTTGCCTTTTTTTTTTGTCCAATTTAAAAATGGTAAGGGAGAAAAAAAAAGAAATAATTATCAAACACGTTGAAAAAAAAAAGAAAAAAAACAAGAAACAATTACCAAACACAGTTATGTTCTTCTTTATTAAAAAAAATAAACGAAAAATATGGACGTTATCGAACGGATTCTTATAAACCAACCTAATTTTTAAAAGTGAGAAACTAAAAATGAAAACGTTAAGGAAATAAGCCAAAATCGATGATTATTTCAACTCTATATTTACTATGAACAAATTCTCATTTCCATTATAAATCACACATACTTATAGGGGGTAACCTTTAATTTGCAAGAGAGCTGTTTACTGAGGGCCGTTGCATATTGGTGAGGAGTAAATTCAGTGCTAGTTTTATAAGAAAGTGGCATAAAATAATTATTGAGATAGTCATTGCCTCCAATTTGAACCATATATAAGCAACTTTTGAGATGTTCTTCAGCAGCAATTCTATTCCCCAATAAGTGTTGGAGTTTTGAAATTATAAGATTATGGTTTTTCAATTGTTTGTTGAAGCTTGATCTTTCTCCCTGCAATCATAAAAGAGTTCGATATAGTTACGATTATCATACGATGATAATGTTAAGGAAAACTAATGTTAAAGAATCAAAGCCAACTTGACGTTGATACATATATCTTAGACCAAGATATTCGAGATTCAAATCCCCATTCTTACATACAAATGTTGTTGAACTAAAAAAAATGTTAAAAAACCAAAATAGGACTTCATTTTGTGAAGTTCATTAAGGTCTAAAATGAGATGAAACATGTTTTTAGTACAACACGTGGGGTGGAGGATCAAATTCACAATCTTTTGGTTAGAAATACATGTCAATTACTGCTAAGCTATACCTCTAACCTCTAAGGAAGGAGTAGAGATGTCTTAACCACTTTGACAGTTAGAACTTTTACTTGGTGCGTAGTAAAGTTTTATTCTATTATGTCAATCCGAGCACAACTTAGTGGATAAAGTACCTATTACCATCCCAAAAGTCGACGAACTCAATCTCTCACTCGACGAGAACTAGAAAAAAGAGAATTACCTGTGTTCTCCCAGTTTCATCACGAATTCCTGCAGCTCCAGATGCATAATTTACGCCTTTGAGAATGTTCCAACCAGACATATTCTTAAATGGTGGCACATAATTATCGAACCCCAAAAATTCAACTACAAAAAATGCAAAGGATTATTAGTGTTATTGTCATCATCGAATATGTTGAAGTCGAATATTGGAAAGGTCCATGTGTTGTTCGAAATGGTGACCGTCGAACAAATAAGTCTATAGCAACGAGTTTTTTTTTGGTGCTCCACCTTATATTTTTTTACGATCAAGTTAGTAATCGTAAGAGAGAAGAAATGAAAAGCAGCTAATTAGATCAATGATAGATTTTTCACTAAACTGCTAAGGTGCTTACCATTTCTCTCCTCTTGTGAATACTAACTTGATCGTCGGAGAATATTAGGGCGGACAGATAGACCTCTTCGATTTTCAGCATCAACAAAATATAAACGAAAGACGAATTTAATTAAGGAAAAAAAATATAAAGCCAAACCAATGAAATCAGCAACATTTCGGCCATTGGTGAACCTCCCTGTGGGTTTCATTTCCTTAGAGAAATCGATGCCATATGGCTTATAATCCGCTCTAGCAAATCCAGTGTTGTTGTTATTATTTCCATTGTCTGATTGAGAGTCACCAAAAATGAAAAAACAGCCCACTTCAGATGATGATGCTCCATTCGCCAAATAAGTTGAAAAATATGTTGAGATTAGAGCATAATAGAGCATAATAGATGGTGTCTTTCCATGGAGTTTCATTGTTGTAGGCGAATGAAATTCAATATTCTCAAATATTATCTCACTGGGTTTGTCAAGAATGGAGATCGAGTCATTAATTTATAGGATAGTTGTTGTTGAGAAATGGAGAAGTTTCTTTTTTCTTAATTAATTAAACTCATTGAATGAGATCAGTTTTTGCGTTGTTTGATCAGTTTTTTGGAAGTTAAAATTTCGATAACATTTTCTTATTAATGAGTAATCAATTTTGTTAAAGGGAGTAAAACACACGGCCATGTGGTTAAAGTTGGTCCCACTTGCCTCGATTACACTCTACCACGTAGGCACCACTGGTCAAAATTGAGGAGTCCCGTGATCAAACACCTCGGCTCGAGACTACGAGACGATTTGTAATCCACTTTCAAAGCAGGTATCTAGAAAAGAACATTGTACCAGTTGGACTCTAAATCGTAGAAAGGGTCGAGTTCTTCAATTGAACACCCAAGAGGAGTTTGAGGAGTGGGGCAGGCTAGTGTTACCGAACCACTATCAATTTAATTTTCTCTAATCCTCTCCTATTTAACTTTTGCAATTAATTTTCTTTATCATAAGTTGCATAAAATTAAGTGCTATAATTTGTTCATTATGTTTAGTGTGAATCTTCACATTAGCATTACTTATGAGGCTTAAAATATATTTATAATTAATTGTTAGAATTAATTGTGACTTTTAATTGCTGATTTTAAGTTCAATTACTTGATAATTATTTGGGTGGAAAAATTAATTAGGGTGTTTACATTTCTAATTTATTGCTTAATTTGAGATAAAATTATTTATTAGTAAAAAGTTTACATAATTGTTTAAATTGGGCTCACCGTGTTAAAAAGTTTATAAATTCTTGTTAAACCCTATTCACCCCTTYACGGTTGTCATACCGATCCAACAAGACCAACCTCATCAAGATCTTCCCTCTTCGTGTGTTATATCCCTCTATCTCTCTCCATCTCTTTACAAAATCTATTCTACAAAACTTTCGATAGGAAACTCCGACCTCAGTCCTGAAATTGAAGATTCTCGAGGGTTTTTCTTCGGCAATAGTTGGTTCATGAGGAATCAATTTCTATTGGAGTTCAGGTTCCACAACAGGATGAAGCAGTACGAGAGTTTGACCAAAGATTTGGCCATGGCTTCCACTGTTTATGTACTGTTCTCTGCCAGGTCTCGATTATTAACTAATGTAATTAGTTTGTTTCTGTTATTTATTATTTATTTAGTTTTGTGTTCTATTAACAAGTTGTTAAGAGTATATCTCTATAAATACTCTTTAATTGTATTAGCAAAAGTAAGGGGGAAATAATACAATACTTTCACAATTTGTGAAAGATTACATGGTATCAAATTCTTTCTGACACGCGTCTTTTTTGATCCTTTCCACGCTTTCGCCTTCTCTAAGATTTCTCAGTCCATGCATTCCCCTTTTCTTTCTCTGCCATGAATCCCTCCGGAAACTTAGACAAAGACATTCACTCTCCAATTTTTCTTCTATCAAATATACGTAATCTGATTTCAATTCGTCTTGATGCTACGAATTTTATTCTATGGAAGTTTCAACTTACAGCGATTTTTAAGGCACACAAGCTTTTCGGCTTTATCGATGGTTCTTCATTGGCGCCATCTGAATTTCTTTCTTCTTCACGCCAAACAGCTACTGGAAGTACTACTTTTACCACTGCATCACGCACTGTCAAACCCTTCTTTGAAGATTGGATTGCAAAAGATCAAGCGTGTTGGGTTTAGATCCCAGAGTTCCTGAGTTTGTTATATGTAAAACATTTTATTTATTATTAATAAAAGATATTTTTTATTGCTTTGAATTTTTTGTATTTCAATAAACTAAGATCTAAAGTTATTTAATGTAACTGGAACATCTTGATATACAGTTAATGTACCTGGTATAAACTATATATATTATTGATATACAAGTGGATAATGTTCCAATAATAACCTAAATGATCATCTAACTCGATCTTAATCCTGAGTGAGTTACGAACTCCTGTGTACGAGGGTAGGGATGGAACTGAGTAGGGAGCTGAGGACGTAACTAAAGTAGATGAGTGTTCCCTTAAAGATTGACTCTGGGACTTGAACAAGGAGTCCCACTCTTTTACTGGCCCGAGAGGGACTTCCAGTTATTGGTCGACCCAACTTCCAATTATTGGTCGGACCATCACTGGGTTGTTCATTAGAGGATTAATAGTACTTAAGGTACAAGAAGTAATCTAGAGGTAAAATGGTAATTTGACCTAACTGAGGTTACGAGCACTCGCGAATAATCGACTTACTGTTAATGATTATATCTATTAGGGGTGTAAACGGCTCGGTTCGGTCGCTTTGGTGGTAGAACCGCAACCGAACCGAAAATTTGTAGAAGAAAATATCAAAAACCGATCCGACCGCTAAATTCATCTAAAACCGTGCCGAACCGGGCAAAAAACCGATGGGATCGTCTGTTCGGCGTGGCGAGTAAACCGCGCGCGTGCGCAACAGCTTGAGGCTCGGGTTCAGGTCAGGCGCGGGTGGGTTTGCACGTGTGTGGCCTTCGGCCTGTGGTACTGGACATGCATTTTTTGGTTGAGCCGGCAGATCTGGCCCTCTGGGCGTTGCCTGATTTCATTTTACTTTTTTTTTTCTTTTCGATTTTTGCTTTCCAATTTCCATTTCGTTTTTTTTTCCCTCAATGCTAAAAATTTAAATTATCCTTTACAATAATAATGTTGAAGTTACACAAAATCTTCCTTTACTAATAATAATATTGGATGATGAAGGAACTAGAAAGTAGAAGGTAAGTAAATTAGAAAAGGAAAATAGAAAAAGAAGATCGGAATCAAATTTGAAAGTTCATCATTCATATCTTTTAACTTTTAAATTATTATTTTATTTAGTATTTCATAAATAGAAAATAATCAAAATCAGATTCTTAATTTTGAATCTTTGATTTTGCTTAATTTTCGAATAGGATGAATGGACGGGACTTCAAAACCTTTAAATTTATTATCTTATTTAATATTTTATAAATAGAAAATAAATCAGAATCGGATTCTTAATTTTGAATCTTTGATTGTTTATTTTTCTAGGAGGAGGAATGGAAAAATTAAAGTTTTGATTTTTAAGTCCAACTGTGGAAGGGAAGAGACGAAGACGAAGACTGACGGAAGCAAGGCGCAACAGGAAGCCACCACGGGTCCACGTGTAGCGGAAACTGGAAGGGAAGCAGACAGACACCTCATCTCTGACCTGCAATTCGAATAAAAAAACAATAAATATCATTTTCGGTTCGGTTCGGGTTTATACGATTTTGAACCAACAAACCCACGACCGAACCGAAATACTTCGGTTTAACAAACTATGACACCGAACTTGATAGACCGACCCGAACCAGTTTCGGTCGGTTTTAGCGGGTTTGGTGGTTTTGGCGGGTTTGGGCTGCACCCCTAATATCTATGACCCCAACTTGTTCTACGGTGCATAAGAGTGCAACTATAGGTCTTTATTGAAATGTCTTATAGTTAATGAATGTTGATTAATTAATTAATGAGTTTATTAATTAATCTCGGATCATTGGAGCTTATTGCCTGTAGATCCAGTAAGATGACACTAGTAAAATAAGGATCAAGAATTTGGAAGATTTTTGAAATGTTCAAATTGATTAGGGGATTATACATGAATTGTATAAGATACAATTAAACTATAGTGTATATATGGATACATTATAATATAAATGAGAGAATTGATTGAATAAGATTCAATTAATAATTGATACGAAATAGATTCGTATCAATTCTATAAGTTAAGATTAATTTGGATGAGATTCAAAATTAAAAATATAGATTACAATGAGAGGAGTATTTGAATATGATTCAAATTAATTAAATATAAGATATTTAATTAATGGCCTGTACAGGGTTTTTGTTTTCGATTGAGATCCACCCAAGAACGTCTCTCTCTCTCAAATAATTCCCCTGTAAATTCTTCTATTCGACTCCTACAAACCAGATCATCACCAGAGATATAGCGAGGAAGTCCTGATCAGAGGCGTCCAACTGTTGGATCAAGGAAAAGTTCTGCAAAGGTACTAAAATTCTCTGTACAGTTCTTAGTTTTCTGTATTTTCAATTCAAATGGAAAGTCAAGAACAAAACGTTTACACACTTCCTGCGGGATTCAATCCCTTCAAAGGGCTGATGACCTTGATCAATGCCACTCTTTTGCCGAAAGTCCTAGCCTATGTCGTCGGCAGTCGTACGTGAAAAGAGGTATGAGATATGCTCGAGAAACATTATTCATCTAAATCCAAAACTAATGTGGTTAATCTTAAGACTGATTTTCAGTCAATTACTAAGAAGTCTGAAGAATTAATTGATGCTTATGTTAAAAGGATCAAAGAAATAAGGATAAATTGGCCAATGTTTCGATCATTGTTAATGACGAAGATCTTCTCATTTACACTGTTAATGACCTTCCAATGGAGTACAATACTTTTCAAACTTCGATGCGTACTAGATCTCAATCTGTCTTTTGAAGAACTTCATATTCTTATGAAATTTGAAGAATCTGCTATTGAGAAGTAGACTAAACGTGAAGTTCTCACAACTCAGCCTATTGCTTTGTTTGCATCATCGCAGCAGTCTTAAAATCGATGTGCTAATTTTTCTCCAAGTCCAAATCAAGGCAGAGATCGTGGTAAAAATAGTGATCGCAGCAGAACACATTTTACTACCTACAATGTTAACCAAGGACGTGGTCGATCCTCTGGAATATTTTCATCTCCGAATTCTTCCATTCAATCTGATGGTCGAATTCCCTGTCAAATTTACGGGCGTCTTGGGCACACAGCCCTAAACTTTACAATAGGATGAGTTACCATTTTCAAGGTCGACATCTGCCAACCCAACTTGCAACAATGGTTGTCGTTCAAAATAACTCTTATTTAGCTGCTGGTAATGGTTCCTCTTCACCAGCCTGGTTGACTGATTCCGGGTGTA